TAAAGTAAAAAATCATATATATATCTAGTATATATATTACTTTTATTATTTTAATAAAAATGCTTTTATAAATAATATAATATTTAACTAATATTTTTTTCTTTAATTACATTTTTCATGAATCATCTTATATATTGTTAAATAGTATGATAAAAATCTTTGTTGAAATTCGTTGTTATTAATGTATTGGTTATTATGAAATATAAAATATTGTTGAATATAAGATTCTTAACTTATTACATATAGAACATATTTTCTATTTAAAATGTACACATTATTAAAAAGTTCACATATTTTAATTTATATTTTTTTTTATTGTTATAGATAAAATATTTTTTTTAAATTTTTTAAAATTATTTACCGCATAGCTCCTTGTAAAATTGATTCTCCTGGTTCTATTTTGCCGCCAAAACCATTCCATTTATCTTTTCCGAATCCTCGTTTTTTTAAACCCAATAAAATTTCTGTTGATTTTCTAATAAAAACTAATGAAAAACTTTTTCTTACAGACATTTTAATCTATTTAATAATTAATTTATTAAAAATTTAATTTTCCTTTTGAAAAATTATTAATAATAGTTTTATATAATCTTTATTTTATGCAATTTAAAACTGATTTTTATTTTTTTACTTAAATAAAAATCAACTTATCAATAAAAAATATATTATAACATAATACTATAATATAAATTTGAATGCCTTAATTTGAAAAAATACTTGGTAGGTTATGCTATTAAAAGAACGTTAAATAGAACTTGCTTATTAAGGGTAGTTTCCGAACCTATATACCATATTCTATCTCACGAAAAATTATAGAAAATTTTATAATTATCCAATTTTTTTCTATTTTTATTTGATTTATCCTTTATTATTTATTATATTATTAATATTTTTAATATTAAATTAAATTTTGCATTTAATTTAATTTAATGGTTTTTTTGAAAAAGAATAAAATGAATAAAATGATAAAAATTAAATATTTTTATTAATTTATTATGTAATAATTTATTATATATTAAATATATTATATATAATTAAAATAATAATAAAATAATTTTATATTTCTACAACAATATTTACAAAAAAAACAATGAAGAATAAATATATATTGCATATGATTAATTTTCTCTTTATTTTTACAATATGTTATTATAAATATGTATTATAAATATGTATTCTAATTCAAAATTCTATTTCTTGTTGCTCTTTGTTATCTTTAATGTCTTCATGTGATATCTATGATTATTAGTTTGATGTTGGTTTTTTGGTATTGGTTTGTTTTAGCATTGTTTTAGCATTATAAGTTTCTTTATAATTTTGCAATGCCTTTTCATATGCTTCTTCTTCTTTAATATTATCCTATTTAAAAAAAATATTATAGTTTTTTCTGATTTTTTATGTAAAATTAATTGTTATATAATTATAAAAATAATAATAATAAAAATAATAATAATAAATATAATAATAATAAAAATAATAATAAATATAATAATATTGAAAAAATACTAAAAATTTGTATCTCATATTACCTGTAAAAAATTTTTATATAAAGATAAAAAGATTTGAGTTTGCGTAACATTATCAGATTTCATATCTATTATAGGAAGTTCCATATCTTTGTGAAATTTTCTATAAAAATATATATTTGAAATGTAAACATAAATTATGTTTATTAATAATAAATATATTTATATGAATTATTTGTATGAAAATTGAAATTTTTATTTACGCTCTTATAATATCTTCAGCATAAAATATATCTTGTATTTTTTTCTGTGATGGTTTTCTAGAAAAAAGTGGTTCATCTTTTGGAGGAAAGCTTTTATATATGTTATACCATAATGGCAAATTATTTGGATGTAATGCTTCTGAGCGTACTAATGCTGTTATTCTAAAATTAATTTAAAAATATA